CATCTATGGAAGAGCATATGCCTCAGTTTGGGCTGTCAGAATATAAATCGGCTTCACGGATCGGATTTGATCTCTATTGCCTTTCATCTTTTTCCATCTTCCATCGTTTTTACGAGGAAGCCCGCATATTGCAGACGCAAATCGCTTTAGAGCTAATGCGAGGTTCCGTATGGGTAGGGATTGTTTGCTGGTGGGGGATCGGGACGATATCCGTCGGGCAAGTGAACGAAATGCAGTTTAAGACGATTGGAATGGTTTAAAACCTAGGTTTGTCGTGCTTCAATTATAGTAACCACGGATTCCTTTATAAGAATTACATTAAATGAATTGTAAAGCACAAACAGATTTTTGTCTATTGGTCGCCATCTTTTACGTGACGTCGTTTGCCGCCATTGTTTTTTTTTTCATCCGTCTAAGACATACAGACGTAGAGATTAACAAATAATAGAAGTTAAAGAATTTCTTTTCTACGTATCTCAATTTTTAATGCTGATTTACTTCGCAAAGTCGGAACTTACTATTAGTACACACACACACACACACACACACACACACACACACACATATATATATATATATATATATATATATATATATATATATATATATATATAAAAACAATGTAACAAAATTTTGACTTATTTTTTGTCTTTCGTAAATATAATTTCTTAATCGTGTCTATTTAGAAATCAAAGGAAATGACTATTAATCTTTGCAAACTTTGCGTTTATCACCCGGACATCGATGTTTTGAAGCTAACGTATTTCCTATGACATTCCAAATGGATTCAGCTCAAGCAGAATTTTCTAAAAGTTTCAAGAACCTTCGAGAATTTCCTAAACTTTGCAAAAATTTCTAGAACGTCCCAGCAACGCAGACGGCAGTATAAATACAGGAAAGGTATTTGAAAGTAATTTGTAGGTCTCCCTGAAAATAAACAATTAATATTAACCAATAAATAATTATTCTTCTAAAATCCTAATTTAGACCGTTTCTGATATTTACTTCACACTCATCAATGTGTTTATTCTTCTTTAAAAAAAAAAGAGTCTGCAGTATCACTCTTAGCTGACTCGTGGTTTTCAAGTTTCACTTACATGTTTCTCTCCTACACATCACACGACTGATAAACACGTTAAGGTACCTTTCTCCAGCACTCAGTACACCCCAAAATTATATAGTAATAATAACAACAACTAGTATGGACACCAAGGAGCATATGTTACCATCCTTTGGTACCTTCTATCAACGCAAATCGAAAAATACAAACTAATATCTGCGAAAGAACTTTAAAAAACCCGGACGAGGCTCCGCCAATGGATAGAACCTCGTTCGGGGAGGTTGACGAACCCGATTCTGTTTTTACAGTTTCTACGGGCCTAATTTGGCCGAGCCTACGGGCTCGGAAAACCCACATTAATCTCGGCCTTGTGCCACATGCAACCTTCGTGGGGTGGGGGGTGACTAGATACCGAGAAGCTCGGCTTGACGGTCGAACTCTCTGCCACTAAGCAGAGAGGAACCTGGACGAGGCTCCTCCGAAGGGCGCAGTCTCCCATTTGTACGGCTTCTACGGACATTTTTTTTTTTTTGGCCGAGCCTACGTGCTCGGGAAACCCACGTTAAACTCGGCCTTGTGCCACATGCAACCCACGTGGTCGGTGGTGGCTAGATACCGAATCGAGTCGAGCCGATAGTAGTTCACTCCAAACCAGACTGACAGTCATACTAACACCTTCCACATCTTGTATTATTATTTCGTGTAATATACCTTCGTTATTTCTACTCTTGTGTTCGTTTTGTTCTTCCTTGGTCCTAACCTGGACCATAACACTTACCAAGTGAAAAAACATCTTTGCGAAGGTTTTTTGGTTTGATTTGCTTGGTTGATTTAGGTTAGCGGCATATCAACAGCTCTGTGGTTTATTTGATGCCGAAATCTAAATATTTTGTACACAATTCTAGACCTTCGGCACAGCTTTTTTGAACGCGATATTATACATATAACTACTTAAGTTGGATTAAAAAATATGGATCAATATTGTGATTTCTTTTCTTCGTTTAATGATAATGTTATTAAGCTTATAAGACGTTATGAAAAGAATTTACATAAAATAAACTGACAACTCTTGTCTATATTATTTAATGAAACATGTATGAATGAAAAAGTGCTGCCTAAATACACACAATTTAAATTACTTACATTTTGTAGATAATTGTTTACAAAAATGTATGTCTGGTAATTTCACTATAAAATGAATTGTTATACTTTTTTATAGTTTTTTTTTTTTTGGCTTCATTTTTATTTTTTTATTTTACGTCATTTGTTGTGGAGTAATTAGTACACCCCCAGTGACTATATGAGCTTGTCCATGACCATAAATAAATGGCTCCAGGTGAAAGGGAACATAAGAATCTGCTGGAGTCAGGCAGTTCTATGGCAGGCTCGCGAAAGACTTGCCGAACTCTCTAACTTCGGCCAGACGAGGCTACGCCTACG